TTCAGGTTCTTACAGCCAGTCTAAGACATGCATTGTTACCTTAATGATAACATAAGGGAAGAGAGAACGTGAGGAGGTCTCATCCAACACTGATTGTCCACTATTTAACACACTTATTCATTTTCTTATTTAATCCTGTGCCAGATATGTAAACCGAATTATTAATATTGTTTCTGTTCAGCAGAGCAAATGGAGACCAGTGTCATTAACTAATCTGCCCCAAGGCACCCTGCTAGTATGTCATAATGCTAAGATTTAAATCCAAACCTGTCTGACCTGAAAGGCTATATTTTTTTCCATTACAGCTTTCTGTATTCCATATGGTTTTTCTCAGTTGTGAATAAGGTTGTCCTTCATAGAGGAAATTAAGTTCATTATTGTTTTAGTTGTCCTTTATTGGTATTTACCACAGTTTGGTCCGTAGCCAGAAAATAATCACAGTAAATAAAAGAAGCAGGTAGGAGCCAAGTAGAGGTAAAAAAGCTAGTCCATTCATTAGCAGGTAACAATAACACTTGCTGAAGAGATGCTATCGACCTTCGTGGACTAATTTCAGAACTATTGGCTTCCATTGCAAACTCTAGACACACACCAGTGAATGCAGTTGGTTTCAGTTCCTCAGGGAAATAAACTTCAACAGTAGCAATAGAAGAATCTAAAACAAAGAGGAATTGGAGAGTAGTTCTTATTTGGGGATTTCTTCAGAAGAAGACTGGCCTCCTTCTGTACAAAATAAATATTCCACAAGAGTTGTATGTTAATTAATATGTTTGGATTTGAATGATCATTTGAAAGCCATTCCCAGCTTATAGGTAATTAATTCATTGTGAATTATACTTTAAAATTTTAAAAAGAAAAATTTATCCTATAATTTAATCACTTTATAATAAAATAAATTTCCCTTCATTGATTCATATTTTATAGTATTTCAGCATGACTACAATGTACCATATCTTTTCTGCTATGATGGTATTCATGATAACAATTCAATTTATTTATTTATTTGTTGTGGATTTTTTTTCTTTTTGCTTTATTTTGAAGATTCTGTGGTATCCATGATTCTTCATAAATTAACAAAGTACTCTTTCTATTTATTGTTATATTCAACTCTTCCATTCTTCTACTTGCCTTTCAGAAAATTCAAGTGGTAAATAATAGCTGAAATTTACAACATAAGCTACACTATAGGAAAAAATTAAACCTCTTTAGGTAACTTCTTTAACTCTTTTAGATATTAGAAAATAATTAGGTCTCTGGGAAAAAGTTATCTATATGACTTCTTCCAGATCTGTATTGTCCAATACGGTAGCAACTAGCCACATGCGGCTATTCATTTAAATTAGATAAAATTAAATAAAATTGAAAATGAATTCCTCTGTCATACTAGCCATAATTTCAAAGGCTCAATAGCCACATGTGGTTAATGGTAACAATATTGGAAAGCACAGATCTAGTATATTTCCATCATCACAGAAACCACTATTATATACTGCTGTCCTAAATTATGATATAGAATATAGACCAAGATAGTTGACTTCTTTCTTTTATCTTTTTTTCTGCACGATCCCCAGTGATTTATAATAGTCATTGCTACATCAGTAGTGGCCAACAAATATTTGTTGAAAATTGAATGAATTGAATAAGTGATTGGAAAACAAGAAGAATGTAGTTTTAGTTGTAGAATATTTATGGAAATTTAAGGTTAAAATTAGGTTCAGATTCAGAAAGGTTTTATGCATAAAATATTATGTAATCATATAAAGTTCATGAAGCAGGTAAGTGGGCTAGATATTTTTGAAATAATTTTCTGTATTTACTTTCAATATTTGCCAACAATAGACTATCATGTTTAAAAGTCAATTCATTTCTCTCTCCCCAGAGATAGCTATTTTTCTTAAGTTGGTTTAAATCATTCCTATTTATGCTTTTATACTTGTATATGCATTTATATGTTGACAGTAATACCTGGTTTTGATTAGTATGTTTATAAAATATATATATATATATATAACCACTATGGTAAAAAAAAAATTGCTTGGCATATTTTTCAAGTAAAATACTGGATTGTTGGCTTTCCTACATATTTTGAAATGCTCATAAGCTTTTTCCTCCATTAATCTGTTGATGAGATGAATTACATTACTAGATTTTTCTGTTATTGAACAACCCTTGCATTTATTAGAAAAACTCTGCCTACTCAGGAATTTTTCTGATACATTGATTGTTGCATTTGATAATATTTCATTTTGTATTTCAGCATCTCTAGTCTAAAATCAGAACAGTTTATAATTTCATTTTCTCAGCCACGATGGGTATCAAGTTTTCAGAAATCTCAAAATATACCAAAAAACTTTCTCTCCACCTCCCTGCCTCTCACTTGTGCATACATGTGTGTATAGCTAGTTGATTCTGGAACTAATTTTGGGCTCTTTTATAAAACATTGGAAAGCTATAATTAATGTCTCTTTCTTTCTCTTTACCTAGATTTGGGCACACATGCTTTCCTATCAGTAACATCTTTTTCTGGGTATTTTCCTCTTATAAAATCAACATCATTAAGCTGAATACAAAAATTCAAAATTATCTCTTTATACTGTTTCATACTCTATCTTATCTAGGAATATATTCAGTGAAACATATGAGCCAGGAAAGATTTTAAAAACTTAAGCGGAGAAGAAGAATGAAAATCAAATTCCTACCTGTTTATTACCAATAAAAGAATTAAAAAGTAGAACACCACTATAATCTGTCCTGAGGGGAAAAATGAGTTGGATTATCCATGTACAAATACAATAACAGAGGAGGTAGATATTTTAAAACATATTAAAAAGTTTAAAATCTTCTAAGTTTCTGTGATTTTTTTTTAAATTTAGTGTTTATTTTTTTAGAGAGATAGAGAGACAGAGCATGGGCAGGGAAGGGGCAGAGGGAGGAAGACTTAGAATCTGAAGCAGGCTCCAGGCTCTGAGCTGTCAGCACAGAGCCTGATGCAGGACTCAAACTCGAGAACCGCGAGAACCGCGAGATTATGACCTGAGCTGAAGTTGGATGCATAATCAACTGAGCCACGCAGGCACCCCCAGGTTTCTGTAATTTTTAATGCTGCTTTTCTATATGCTTTTTTAAAGCCATGGACGAACTATGTACTTTTCCATGTTTACACTGGAATTTAACAGGTACACTGTTCCCAGTTAATGTTCACTGCAGTAAGAATAGTGGAGGCAGCAGGTGGCAGCAGCTCCCAGTCAAAAAACTGGGAATCTCAGAAGCCCTGTAACAGCACAAGGCCTCCCTTGTAGGCCAGCTAGTTCTTTGGTGTAACTGCTAATTTCACATATGGGGGGAAATTTGTATAATGCATAAATCCCACTAACTTTGACAAAGCAAATGAGACTTTTTTGTGTGTACCTATTTTACATAGAGAATGAATACCAAGCTTATGAACTACGTGTGTTTACACCTATTGCCTTTATGCTTTCTATGATCCTCCTTCCTCTTTTCCCCTCTTCTGTCCTAATGTATTTTTCTGGATTTCACTCCAGCCTTTCATTTTCACGGAAGCTGGACATCTTTTAACATTTTGCCTACATTTTATTAAGTGACAATGAATAACAATAATAAGCTGAGAATACTAGTGATCACTTACTGAACATTTACTCTATGTAAGGCTCTCTTCCAGAACACTTACATATTTTATCTCAGTTAATTCACACAATAATTCAGTGGATTAATTACTACTATTATTATCCTATCAAAGCTGAAACACAGAAAGGTTAATAACTTGCCTAAGGTCACACAGCTAATAGGTAGAAGGGACCAGAAGACTAACTGCAGCTATCTGACCTTGGAACGTAGGCTTTTCACCATTACTCAGGGATATGTTAGCCAGGGGGACCAACCTCTGCCAATAGACAGACTGGCAAATATTTTAATTATGCCAAGAAATAGGATTTTTAGGTAATTTAAAGTTCATGGATTTCCAAAACATCTTTAAGAAGAATTTCCACACGTTGGGGCGCCTGGGTGGCTCAGTCGGTTAAGCGTCCAACTTCGGCTCAGGTCATGATCTCACGGTTCATGGGTTTGAGCCCTGCGTCAGGCTCTGTGCTGACAGCTCAGAGCCTGGAACCTGCTTCGGATTCTGTATTTCCCTTTCTCTCTGCCCCTCCCCTGCTCATGCTGTCTCTCTTTCTCTCTCTCTCAGAAATAAATAAAAAACATTTAAATAAATAGAAGTCATAATTAAAAAAAAAAAAGAATTTCCACACATGAGAATTTGAGGCCACTCACAGTTCAGTATGAAAGAGATGGGCAGCAAATCTCAACTTCTTCACTTACTATCTGTGGAAGCTTGACAAGTTATACCACCACCCAGAGCTTCACTTTCCTAATGTATTAAATGGTGACTCTTTAATGTCACCATTAATGACTCTTTAATGTCACCATTTAATGACTCTTTAAGTAACTCTTAAGTGTTATTACGGAGATTGAGATATCATAGCATAGTTCCCAGAATACAGTTAAGTACATCCTCAATTAATATTAGTCCATGTCCACCTTCTTCAGTAAACTGTAGTGCCAACTATGAATTTCCCTTGGGTAGGATGAGCCTGGAGAATGAGTTAAAGGCTAATGAAGGGAAGTATTGGCTGAGAAGAACATTGCCTTATTAATTTCTGTATTTCCTTCAGTGAGTCTCTTAAATGATGGGTGCATCAATGTTTCTTGTTAAGTTGATGAGTAAGTAAAGTCACAAAGTTAAGTAGTCAGTGGATATTTTACATATGTAAAAATAGTCTTTCCAAGCATTTGACATGCATTTTAGAGGACCGAGGTTACCATTACATTCAGGTTCCTGAGAAATTATTTACAATTAAGGATGATTAATGGGAGCCCCTTATTAATTTCTGACTCAGTTTTTAGTGTGACACCATTTTGTGTTCTCTCACATGCTTAGGCTTATGTTTGATCATTCATTAAATACCTGATTTGTCTTCTAGACCAAGAACAGAAGATGCCTGGGTATTTGCAAAGCCCAACGCCATTCAGGCTGTTGGTGTTATGTCATTCGGTGAGTATATGGTTTCAAAGGCCCTTTCTCAATATGGAATCTTCTGTATAATGAAAAAGTTTCATATTTGTGTCTGGAGAGCAGATGTCCTAAGTTTTAGACTTCCTATTAGCAGCATATGATCTAGTTTGTGCCAACATAAAATTAGGCTCAAATTCTTCTCCCTCATCACTAAAATTTGATTTAATTTGGACAAGACTCTTCCTCATGCAGAAAACTCATTAAAGTCATCTTATTTCTTAACTTGAAAATCTAGCAAGTGTTATGTGCTTCTTCAAAACCTTGCACACAAAGTATTACAAATTGGCCAGATGTCTAAAGCTACTCTGTTATATCCCAGATTGGAAATGAAGCCATGGACTGGAAATATAGTGTTGTTTAGATTTCCCTTAAAACTGGGAGGCCAGTAGGAAATGGAAAATACGAGAGAAAAGTTGGATAGGCCTGGTTTTTATCAAGAGTGACATGAAGAGACTACATAAGCCTAAATACAGTGAAGTGAAGTGAAATTTCTTGTTCTTAAAGCTGTTAGAAAAGTTATTTTCTGACATAGCTAGTAAATTAATGTATTTGAACTTCAGTAGCATTCCAAAGTTGTATACATCTCCGACTTTTCAGAAGAAAAAGAAAACCTTAGTGTTTGCTTTAATGATGCTCTTTTTTTGTTTTGTTTTTGCTTTTGTTTTTGTTTTCAGCATTTATTTGCCACCATAACTGCTTCTTAGTTTACGGTTCTTTGGAAGACCCCACGGTAGCTAAGTGGTCTCGCATCATCCACGTGTCCACCTTGGCTTCTGTATTTATCAGTATTCTCTTTGCTACATGCGGATACTTGACATTTACTGGCTACACCCAAGGTAAAATGAGAGATTCTGTCTCATCATATTGTGTTATTCACGTGGAGTGGTTCCATCACTTCTCATTTTGGGTACAATTATACCTAACATTCTACTTCAAGTTATCACTAATCTCTTCTCCCATTCTCTCCTCTCTACCTTCCTGCCTCTGCTGTTTCTGTTTTGTGATTTTCTCCCTTTTAAACTGCTAAACTTATTTCTGTAGTTCATTCTCTCTCTTCTTCCATGCTTTCACTTAAAAGCACTTGAATTCTGGCTTCCCTCCCCACTGCTCCCTGCAACTTCACTTTCAGAAATACCAATATCTTCCCACTCTTCAAAGTGAATAATCTTCTTGGTTTTGATTCTCATGCACCTCTGTGAATTACTTAACGGTTCCGAACAGCCTGTCTTTTCTCCCACAGGAGAGGGAGCACTACCATATCATCATTCACTCTGTGCATATCTTTTTTTATTCCCAGAGTGATTGCTGTCTGCTTTCTCCTACCGCCTCTCCCCTTCTCCCCCCACCCAATCCCCGTCCATTAACTGGCTTAGGCAAGTTGCCTTCTTTTCTCTCAACAAATTCCCTGGAGATTGTCCTTGTTTTAAACTCCAGTCCAGATCTTTCTTTTCATTTCCAGTCTCTTGCCTGCAGGACATACATACTTAGTTGTCCTGTTCTTACCTTAAATACAAAACATCATCTTTCTCACAGAACCAGACTCTCCCTTCCTTCCCGCCTTCCCCCACAGCACCACTCCACACTGAATTTACTTCTCTTTTCCCTGTTCACCCAGGCACAACAGCTGAATGGCTATTTCTTCTGCTTCCTTTGACCTGGGCACTCACTCCTCCGTGTAGTGTAATATCCAGGGTAATCTGACAGCCTGCTAAATGCTGTGATTCAAACATGTCACAGCTTTTGCAGGTCTATTATCTCATTTGACCTTGAAACAACCTTATGAAGGCAAGTGGAATAACTAGTTTTACCCCCTGCTTAGAACACAAAGAGGTGAAGGAACTTGCCCAAGCTGGATGGTGACAAAGTAGAAAACAAGTTTCCTGACTCCCAGTCCAATTTTCTTTCCATTCTCTCTTGCTGACTACCCCATTTTGGTCAAGTGTGACCCATTAAAAGCTGTCTCTTATCCTCCAGTCCCTCTTCGCTTAGTTGTCAGATGACACTAGGTAGTCTTGAATGAATGGTGCATTGTTTCAAATAGAGGTTACTGGTGACTATGATTATAGGCAGAGATTTTTCAAATAAAAAAGTAAAAATGCCTTCAAAACAAAGTGGTTAGCATAATTCCAATGCCATCAAAAATGTAATATATGCATGTGCCATGAGACTGCAGTAACAAAGTGATCTTGAACATCTTGATAAAAATCGTGTTTCAGAACACTGCCATAGATCACTATTGCTACATCATTTGCCAAGGTGAATGGCCTGTAGGCTCCAGTCTGTATGAAACCTTGGTTTTTAAATGCCTTCTCTGTAAGACATAAATCCTTTTTCTTAGTCACACCTTCCTAATGTTGTTATCAGTGGTAATTGCTTAGATATAATTAAATCTTTATATAACAAAGTTGACAGGTTGGTTTGGGACTGGGTTTTTGTGCTTTTTTTTAACCTAGCTATAATTCCCAAAAATATACTCGAGCTGGAATAAGCTGACATTGTTCCTTCAGGCTGTTTCATTTTAGGCAAATTTGGTCTTATCTGTGCATACTGCATGCTTCTTTTTCTTTTCCCTTTTAGTAGATAAATTTCACCTTGTGAGGCAGTAAGGACTCCAGGTTGTTGTTGACATTGCTAGGCACTTTTGAAAAGGTGCAGGACCCATTTTTTAGCGAAGGTTAGCGAAGAGGGGCCTTCAGTCCTCTTTTCTCAGAATGGCAGATTCTTTTCAGTCAACCTTGAAACAAGTCTCTGCCACCACTCTTTTGTGGTTTCATCCCTTCTGCCCGAAAGGACACTAGAAAGTAATGTACATTTGTTCTAATAGATAGGAGGAGGGGCAGAGAGTCATTAGAGTCTTGACAGAGACAGGTTATTTAGCTTTTTAAAGAAAAAAAAAAAGGACAGAACTATAGTTTTGTTTTCTATTTAAACAGAATAGGAGTGTGTGACTTTATATCGGATTTTCTATTCAGTCTGGAAAATGTGACCAAAATTTTAAAATGTAAGCATGTTATATTTAGGAAATACACAGGCCCAAGTATTGTTTGTATTGGGAAGCTTTTTGCCCCCACGACTTCTGGGCCCCCATTAGCTCCCTCTATTTCTTCATAGATGTCTGAGAAAATATAGTCTCTAAATAAGAATTTGTTTGGGGTGCCTGAGGGGCGTAGTCAGTTAAGCGTCTGACTTTGGTTCTGGCCATGTCTCACAGTTCGTGAGTTCAAGACCCACATTGGGTTTTGTGCTAATAGATCAGAGCCTGGAGCCCACTTCAGATTCTGTGTGTTTCTCTCTCTCTTTGCCCCTCTCCCGAACTGCCCCCCTCTTTCTTGCAAAAATAAACATTAAAAGATTTTTAAAAAAGAATTGGTTCAAGGTGTACATGTCCATTGTCTAGTGTGGAACTAATTAAATATAATGCTTCTTCTCAGACATAACCATATTTTCACACTTTTAAATCAGTGCACTTATACTGGGGTTCATCAGATACCATGAAAGGTAAATTCTTGCTGTGGCTGGGGGTTTGTGATTGAACCCTATAGTGCAATCTACAGGAAATTCAGCTCCCCAGATGTACTGGTCTACTCTTCCTTTAAGGACTGCCCTTGATCTAAGAATAGCATTTCAAAAGGAAATTTGTTTATTTTAACAGACTTTTTTTTTTTTTTTTAATAACGAAGTCACTTATTTATCAGAAACAAAGACCAGAAGCAAGTTTATACAACTAGTGTACAAGAATTTAGGGAGTTGATTCAGGTGTCAGAAGACAATAGATAAAAGTATTTTTCAGAAGTTGATACAATTTTAAGGCAGATCTACTAAAAACAAACATTGAGAGTAAGAGAAAAACTATTAGTGATACATTTGTCTTCAAGTTGGCACAGGTAGTTGTTTTAATATCAGTCAATGATTTTAGAGTTACTAAATGCAAAAATGCTATATTTAGCCTTTGTAGTCTGTTCCATTGATTAAATGAAGTTTCTGTAGTTTCACTTAGATAACAAATAGCTAATATCTGATTTGTTAGGTGTTTATCTCAAACATTCAGTTGAAATAAATCTATTTTCTATTATTCTTTAGGAGACTTATTTGAAAACTATTGCAGAAATGACGACCTGGTAACGTTTGGAAGGTTTTGTTATGGAGTTACTGTCATTTTAACATACCCAATTGAATGCTTTGTGACTAGAGAGGTAAGCACAATTCCTTTCCAACACTTTATCTGGTTGATCCTTCAACTACATTTAATTCAGGAAGGTTTGTAAATAATTTAATTCTGCAAATTTGCAAGTGCATGACAAGGAATATAATTTATAAAATGTTCTTTTTCAACCAGTGTAAAGAGAAATTTATATTCAAATGTTTACAAGTTATTTTTTTCAAAAGTTGGATTTGAAGATCACATTTGGTGGTTTAGTTTATATTAGGATATGTATAAATATTTATACAACTGCATTCCAAAATGAATGCCAGCCTTTAATAGAGCCAAACTAAGTTGTTTTTTCTTAAAAAGAAATTAAATACTGAGTTTTAAAATGTGTTTTACAAAATTGTCCTTTTGCTAAGATTGTTTCAGAAGTCAACACGTATTGAGGGCACCTTGGAACAGATTTTGATCAGTTTCGTTAGTTTTAAAAAACTAAAATATCTTACTGTACATAGAAAACCAAAATCAATTTAAGCCATTAGTTTTACAGATATATTTCATTTATATATTTGTACAAATATATTTATCTTTATTTTTACACTATGTAAAACAATAGAGATGGTACATTACATGTATATGGATTTGTGATGTATTTGTGCTGTATATGTCACAAATCCATATATATATGTGGATTTGTGAAGGATGATTAAGTGAAAAAGAACTCACTCTTTTTGTGTAAAATTGGATAACATGGCTTGTTGGGAATCCCTTATACAGTCAGTGAAAAATCCGCTCTACCAGTCAGCAGAAAAACATGATCCTGCTTCACAGTGGTTCTTTCAGCAATCACACTGAAAAGGGCTTAGTTTTAGGATCTATTCCTAGAGGCTGTTGACACAGTGTGCCATGTGAATGGGTCTAATGTGTGAAGTGAAATGCCTAAACGCCACAGAGCTTTAAATGCACTAACTAATCGGCTGTGGTAGAGGAAGACCAGTGCTTACCTTATGCCTATGCTGGGGTAAGGAACCACTCAGCAAAATGGAATAAGGAAATAGTCAGCACTATGTATGTCTTTTACAATTAGTACTTGTCCTCACTGACAAATGTGTAAATCACAGGCCAGTTCTCTATCTTGAAAATAAGAAGGAAGTAGACTGAACTTTACTTTTATGAAGATTTTTTAAATCTAAGAACCTGTAAAGTATTTGCTGTTGTTGGATGCAGGAAATGGTTTTATTTTAGCTTCTGCCCAGTACTTTGGGTTCAAATCTGATCTCTAGATCAGCAGTAACAGATGGTGTATTCTCGTGTGGTTTCTGGTGAACTGCTAATGGACCATCTGAGTCACTCCACCTGCACAGCTTATGTCTTCAGTACTTGGGACTTGTATTTCCTCTCTGAGCTGCCATGACAGGAAGACAGAACTAAATCAAGATCTCTCATGGTAGCAAATACTAGGCAGAGGAACCTCAAATACACTTCACTCATTCACTTCCTTTTTCTCTCTCCCCTGTCTACACACACACACACACACACACACACACACACACACACAGTTAGCATAAACATAGTCAAAAACATTTTTATTCATAGGTAAAGTAGCCAACCGCACAAAAGGGTGCCAGAAAGCCTGCCCAGACCCCTAATGAATGTCTCTTGCTAACCTGCTCCACTCAGTGACTTTCTACTCTTACAATCTTATGTCAGAGGCATCTACAAGAATGAATTTTAAATATCTGGAAAAGCATTACCAATTGTAAAACCATAAGTAAGTAACAGTTATTAGTATCTCCATTGATTATTAGCAGAGTGATGGCAGTATCCAGTCTGCAGGGAATGTTACTTATCCAGGAATATTACTTAGTACAGCTGGGAGTGTTGGCCTCATTAAGAATTTCTAGCTTCTGACCTTCTACCATTTTCAACTCTTGTCTCAGGGGTTCTCTTGCACAGAGTCAACCCTATTCAAACTTTCTCCTCCTTGTCTTCCACAGGTATCATTCCTGTCCTTCTTACCTCTTTTGCTCTTTTTACACTGTTCCCTCAGTCTGTAATTCTGCTTTAAACCCTACCCATGTTTCAAGCCCTATCTCAAGCCAAGGTTGGACGAGCATATTTCAGAATTGCTGTAGAGCCAATTACTCTGAGAAAGGTGGATCTAGGCAACTAAAGCTCTTTCTAGTTCTAAATTCTATTTGATTTTTTTTTATCCAGTCATAAATGGATCACTATTTGCTTTTTATTAGATTGGTTGGATCTCTCCAATCTCCTTTCATTCAGATGATCTAAAATAGCAAATGTACTTTCTATGAGTGGCAGCCTTGTTGGATCATATACCTTTTAAGGTAACATGCCAAGATCATTCTTACACTTAAGAAATAGGGTTTTTCATGCATTATGTACCATATTCTGAGTCTGTAATATAACCCACTTCCTGTCTAATAATTCAACAAAGAATGTTATTGAAATGTGTATGTGTGTCAGTACTTTGGAAAATATAAGACATTCATCTGGCTTAAGATTTGTTGCCTTATTGGTAGTGTTTTATATAGTCCTAAGTGCTATAATGTGATATACTTTCTGAATAAGTCCTGCATGCCTCTGAGAACCCCTCTCTAAATAATGTGTTTATTTGGCAGGTAATTGCCAATGTGTTTTTTGGTGGGAGTCTTTCGTTGGTCTTCCACATTATTGTAACAGTGGTTATCATTACCATAGCCATGCTTGTGTCATTGCTGATTGATTGCCTTGGAAGAGTTTTAGAGCTCAACGTAAGTACAATTAAAATTTACACCTCTTATCCTAAAAATAAAAATCTCCTTAAAAATACTGTTTATATTTAACAAAGGTTGTATTTTCTTTAACAAAAGTATCACTTTCTGAAATGGAATGAAAATGTGTTAGTTACAATAACTATTACAGTGATGATATTGTATACTTTATAGAACTACATACTTTTTTAAATGCTTATTTTTTTAAATTTTATTTTGAGAGAGAGAAGGGGGAGGTGCAGAGAGAGAGGGAGAGAGAAACCTATGCTGCCAGCACAGAGCCTGATGTGGGGCTTGAACTCACAAACCATGAAATCATGACCTGAGCTGAAATCAAGTCATCAGATGCTAATCAAGCTCAGATGACTGAGCCACCCAGGTGCTCCTATAGGACTATATACTGTTAGAGCAGTAGTTCTCCAGTGGGAGAAATTTTGCCTCACCCAGCAGACATTTTTGGTTATCATAGTTGGGTGTGTGGGTGCCACTGGCAACTATTGAGCAAAGTCTAGGGATGCTGCCCGAGACTCCACGGCGCACAGGACGGCCCCCATCATAAAGATTTACCCAATCTAAAATGTAGTAGTGCTGAGGTTGAGACATCCTGGTTTGGAGCACTTTTTCATATTTTCTTTTCTTTTTTTTTTTTAATGTTTATTTATTTTGAGAGGGTGAGAGAGACAGAGAGAGAGAGAGAGAGAGAGAGAGAGAATGAGCAGAGCAGAAACACAGACAGATACAGAGAAAGAATCCCAAACCGGCTCCACATGGAGCCTGACACAGGGCTCCATCCGACGGTGGTAAGATCCTGACCTGAGTTGATATCAAGAATCAGATGCTTAACCAATTAAGCCACCCAAGCACCCTTCATATTTTATTTTCTATAATACATAAATATTACTAGGAGCACCTGGGTGGCTCAGTTGGTTGAGCATCTGACTTTGGTTCAGGTCATGATCTCATGGTTCATGAGTTCGAGCCCCACATCCGGCTCTGCACTGACAGTGCAGAGCCTACTTGGGATTCTTTCTCTCCTACACTCTCTCTCTACCTTTCACTTGCTCTCTCACATTCTCTCTCTCTCTCAAAAATAAATTAACATTTAAAAAATATTACTAAAAATAACTATATATTAAGTGGATCTGGAAGTTCCCTTGTTAAATGAAAGTAGGTCTAGAGAGATTCATTAAATATGAATGAATGAAGAGAGTTATACCCCATATTCACTTACTACAGCCTAAGTTCTTTTTCTTTAACATATTTTTTTTCCTTCTCTAGATCTTTCCCTTGTAATCTATACTGCTGTCTTCCAAATCTATGTGCTTGTCATACCACATCTGAATTAATACTGTTTTTTTTTTTTTTTTTTTTTTTTAATTGGTTTTTTTTTTATTTCTTTTTCCAGTGTATCATTATAACGCTTAAAAATCTCTACTTTCCTACCAGAGCAAGCATAAAACCTGTTGCCTCTGTAATCTGACCCCATGCCTTTTGTGGAAATTTATTTATCGTTTTCTTCCCCAAATCTACCCTTAGCTCTAGTCAGTCTTATTTTNTCCCTTGTAATCTATACTGCTGTCTTCCAAATCTATGTGCTTGTCATACCACATCTGAAATTAATACTTTTTTTTTTTTTTTTTTTTGCTTCAACTGGCATGTATTTAAGTTCTGCTTCCAGTGTATCATAATAACGCTTAAAAATCTCTACTTTCCTACCAGAGCAAGCATAAACCCTGTTGCCTCTGTAATCTGACCCCATGCCTTTTGTGGAAATTTATTTATCGTTTTCTTCCCCAAATCTACCCTTAGCTCTAGTCAGTCTTATTTTTAGCCTCTGAGTAAGCCATATTAATTTTCTTTTATCCCTTGGCTTATATTTATTCTTTCTTATAATTTTCCTCTCATTTCTGTCCAAATCTTACAAAGATTTAAGGTCTAGTGCAAATTCTAGTTCACGTATTTGTTGATCAAATATATATTATTCCTATATAATTGAAATACAATGATGGGAGGAGGTCAGAAAGGATCCATGCTTTCATGGAGCATACAATCTCAAAATTCAACATGAAAAGTTCAGCTACTATATAAGTCATGAAGAAGAGAAAGGAAAGTAGATGGGTTCCCAGAAAACATTTGTGAGAAAAGATTGACAGGATTTGGTGACAAAGAGGGATAGAGGGACACATCAAGAATGACTCGTTGGTTCTACTTTGTGGAGCTGGGACAGTGATGCCATTGATGAGAAATGAATAGAAATGGATCTACCACGTTAGAGTCATTACTCTTCCTCTTCTACAATCTTTATGGAATTTCTGCTCAGAATCCCATCACTTGTACCACAGGGAGGGCAGACTTTTACAGATAGAATCCCAGGTCATTATTTACTCACTTTGTTGAGAGTTGAGGGATAGATGAAGGCATTATTGTCTGTGTGCAAGACACTGTTCCCTCCAAATGCCATTTGGATTTGATGTTACAGACAAACAGTGGAGGATTCAGTCAATAATGTACTATTGGGAACGTTCTTGTAGCAGACTATATGAAAAGTAGGGAGTAGTCAGCTTCTCAAAACCACAGGAGCCTGGAGAATCATCTATTCCACCAGCAATGGAAAAAAGCTCATAGGAGAGATACACAATATCAAAAGTAACTTTTGGGGCACCTGGGTGGCTCACTCGGTTGAGTGTCTAACTTTAGCTCAGGTCATGATCTCTTGGTTCATGGGTTCGAGCTCCACGTTGGGCTTTGTACTGACAGATGGGAGGCTGTAGCCTCCTTCAGATTCTGTGTCTTCCTCTCTCTCTGCCCCACCCCTGTTTATGCTTTGTCTCTCTCTCAAAAATAAACATTAAAATTTTTTTAAAAAGGTAACTCTCACCTACTTCCCAATTTTGCATAGACCAAAGGCTCGTAGGTTCATTCAAAATCATTTCAGGTTCTAATCTTGATCTATGGTCTATGTAAGTGGATGACTACTACCTTAAGGAACTAACTTGATTTGTATATTGCTATCACGTATCATGTATTGTTTGAACTGTGCGTAAGCTTTCCTTCCTTACCATAGAATAAGTCTTTGAAGACAAGAATGATACTTGGCTATTTCATCCATCCTCCACAACATATGGCATAGTGCTAAGAACACAGTGCTCATATTACTGCATGGGCTACTGCCCCTTGGGACCACAGATCAGGAACCATTTCCACAAATGTTCCTGAACAGAAGAGGTATTCCTTAGCATAGCACCAGGATATAAAATGTTACCAAAATAAGGTTGGTATTGACAGTGACAGTAATATTTCATCTGTTTTGAGGACAGGATCAACAGAACGATCCCCAGCTCTGTTTTCTCTTACTTTGCTAGATGTCTCATTTGAGCTCATATTTGATTGTGCGTGGACCTTTTTAATATTGTAGGATTTGGGTATGTTTATCAACTGCCTGGTCACTCACTACATGTTGAAAGCCTAACTATTCCCTTTAAGTTAAGCAAGCATATATATATGACTTATTTTTTAGTAATGATATTTTTTGTAAATTTAACCATAACTTTATGTTAATTGCTTATCTCTCTGACCCTTGCACAATAAAATTGTAAATACTTAATTACATGAAAGTGTCCCTATTGTATTTATGTTGAAAATTTTTTGCAGTTAATACAGAATTCAGTGTGGTAGAATAATCAGATAAGAATATTGGGTGAATGTCTGTTATAAAGTCAAGGTCTGGCCTGGTTTTGGAAAACTTTTTAAAAATTTAAAGCATGATTCTAGATCTTTAGTTTTTTAAAAATCTGGTCATCTAGTTATTCATAAAAAGACAGTTAAAGAAGAGTGTGAAGTTGTCTGTTATGATTTAATAACCCAAGACAATTACACTAGTTTTAAAGAAATGAACCCACAACTATATAGTCAATTAATCTTTGACAAAACAGGAAAGAATACCCAGTGGGAAAAGGAATAATCTCTTCAACCAATGCTGTTGGGAAAACTGGACAGCAACATGCAGAAGAATGAAACTGGACCACTTTCTTATACCAAACACAAAAATAAGTCCATGTTGGATTAAAGATCTAAATGTGAGGCTTGAAACCATAAAAATCCTAGAGGGGAACACAGGCAGTAGCCTATTGGACACTGCCCATACCAACTTCTTTCTAAATATGTCTCCTGAGGGGCGCCTGGGTGGCTTAGTCGGTTAAGCGTCCGACTTTCGCTTAGGTCATGATCTCGCAGTTCGTGGGTTCGAGCCCCGCGTCGGGCTCTGTGCTGACTGCCAGCTCAGAGCCTGGAGCCTGTTTCAGTCTGTGACTCCCTCTCTCTCTGACCCTCCCCTGCTCACGCTGTCTCTCTCTCTCTCCTAGAAATAAATAAAACATTAAAAAATTAAAAATAAAATAAAATAAATATGTCTCCTGAGGCAATGGAAACAGAAGCAAAAATAAACCATTGGGACTACATCAAAATAAAATGCTTCTTCACAGCAAAGGGAACAATCAACAAAATTAAAAGGCAACCTACAGAATGGGAGAAAATATTTGCAAATGACATATCTGATAGAGGGTTCGTATCCAACACATATAAAGAACCTACAAACCTCAACACCCAAAAAATGAATAATCCTATTTAAAAAATGGGCAGAAGACATATAAATGATGGCCAACAGACACATGAAAAGATGCTCAACATCACTGATCATCAGGGAAAAACAAAACTACAATGAGATATTACCTCACAGTTGTCAGAATGGCTAAAATTAACAACACAGGAAACAACAGTTGCTGGAGAGAAGATGCAGAAAGGGGAACCCTCTTGCACTGTTGGTGGAAACTGGTACAGCCACTCTGGAAAATAGTATGGAGGTTCTTCAAAATAGGGGAGATGGACAGGGAATTGGGTTAAATAGGTGATGGAGATTAATGAGGGCACTTATTATAATGAGAACTTGTGATGTATGGAAGTGTGAATCACTATATTGTACACCTGAAATTAATATCACACTCTGCTAACTAACTGAAATTTAAATTAAAAAGTTTTTAAAAAGAAAAGCTGAGATGGACAAAAGAAATAAAGCATTTTGTTAGAATGTAATAAAGTCGAGGATCTCCATTCTTTTACAGATCACCTGAGACTATGTTTTTTCAATCGACAAAAGGCTTTTGACATGCAGAACATGTTCAGGTCTTTACTCAGTTCCCTTCTGTGTGGACATTTGACACGTTTAATAGAGCCAGATGAGGCGTTATTTCTCTCAATAACTAATGTAGGCTGGATCATGCCACACTTGAGAACTGCCTGAAGCATGCTGTGTTCCACTCCCCAATGATAGTGTGAGCTAACATGTACTGAGTATTTACTCTGTACCAAGCGTTTTGCATGCATTATCTTCCTGGATCTGTATTAGTTTTACAGATGAAGAAACTGAGGCGCAGAGTGATTAAATAGTTCAGGGGTGCCTGGGTGGCTCAGTCAGTTTGTTGTCTGACTTCAGCTTAGGTCATGATCTCGCAGGCTGTGAGTTTGAGCTCTGCATTGAGTTCTGTGCTGACAGCTCAAAGCCTGGAGCCTGCTTAGGATTCTGTGTCTCCCTCTCTCTCTGCCCCTCCCCCATTGGTGCTCTGTCTGTCTCTCTCTCTCAAAAAATAAACATTGAAAAAACTGTTTTTTTAAAATAGTTCACACTAGTTGTAAGTGGCAGAATGTAGATTTGAACACAGGCTTTCAGACCCTGTAGCCCAGGTTTCTTTTTTTAATTTCCTTTAAATTATGTAAAATCAGTAAGTTCATTTCTGTATCCATTTTTTAAGTTAAAAACCTATGCATTGAATTTACCTACAAGTGAAGTTAAGAGTAATCCATAATATATATATATGGTTAGACTTTAATAATGGGGTAAAGTAAATACCAGGAGATGAAATAAAATGGAACTGAAAGTTTTCCTCTAAATTAATTTTTAGCTAATAGCTTTTATCTTAGTTAATAATTGTACTTTAAGAATTCAAAAAAAAATTTCTACTGTGGCTTCTGAATCATCACTAAGTAGACTAATGATCTTCACTGATGAGATATGTAATAGAATCAGACCTTCGGTTTGCAAATTTAGGGAAATGCTATTACTATAAAATAATAGAGGATAAATTATTTGGGGTTATATTAGTTATTTAATAAAAAGCAAAACCCTATTTAGAGCTTAGCTTCCCTTTTATTACATTGTTTTCATGGCAGTAGACAATAATGACATATTTCCAAAGGAAATGCACCCTCAATTTTAAAGGATTCATTTTAGAAGCAAATAAAGTACATATAAGTCCCATTCTTGGTAACAAGAATCCAGCATCTTGGCTCTAATGTTGCTATTAGAGAAAAGAGGTATCTGCAGTAATTGGGCCCTATGGGCTTCTAACTTGCAGCAGTACAAAGAGAAGAGATGAAGCAGCTGAGGCCTGTGGCCAGAGTAACCAGCCCAACACGCATTGTGTACAGCTTAAAGTAGAGAGAAGAAAGCAAGGCAATTACCCAGTGAGAGCCAACACGGAGAGATTTGGTCATCAGGGTGAGCAAGGCATAGTCCAAGCTACCGAAGATCTCCTGAGCTAGAGAGAATTTCTCTTTAAGGTATAGGAATACATTTCATGAGTCCAAATTGCTTATAAAGTAGAAATTCAGAAGATGTATAAGCATTTTTTTTGTTTCATTTGCAGCTTCCTTGCATCATCTGAGAGGTTTCTATTCTGGTAGGAGAATTCAGATACTTTTCCAATTCGAATTGCCAGTGAAAATCTTCGACACCTTCTGTCATTTCCTTATAGCAAACGGCAGAATGCCCTGGCATCAACAGTGTTATTATCAAAGGATAGTGCTGCCCTGCCTTTATAAATAAGGCTTTATCTTATTGTACCTTAAAAAAAATTAATGTTTATTTATGTAGAGAGAGAGAGAGGGCAAGCACAAGCAGGGGATGGGCAGAGAAAGACCGAATCCCAACCAGACTCCATGCTATCAGCACAGAGCCCAACATGGGGCTCCAACTCACTAACCATGAGATCATGACCTGAGCTGAAATCAAAAGTCAGATGCATAACCAGTGAGCTATCCAGATGCCCGCTTGTCCCTTTAATGAACAGTTATGATATTCACATCCTGTCAAGCAGTTCCAAAGATTATTCCAAAGCCAGCAGTGTATATCTCACACAAAGCAATATTAAATAGATCAAATAAGCAGGACGAATTTACAGGGAATAGAACAGATGGAATTGCTCTATCATTCCACTGAAGATCTTGGGTCCTAACAACAATCTCTAGGAAGACTGAGCTTCCAAATATTAAGAAAGTAACTGCTATCTAGACAAGATACCCAACTGGACTTCTTCCAGCACAAACATCAGCTATATAGTTTTCCCACTAATTGCTACTTTCTCGAATCTTAAGAATTATAGCATAAACAGAACACCCATTGCTTTGGACTGCCCAGCAAGTTAGTTTTGGAAGAGTCCCAAAACGCTGACTGATGACAGCTTCTTAGCAGCAGCTGGTGATGGCTTTCATCCTGATAGTACTCTCAACACTCTGAAGTTCCAGATGAACTATCATCACGTTTGTTCATGTAAAAAGAGACCCTATACATATACACATCCCCATACCACATACCTGTATTTATATCTTAATTACTTTTTCATTGTTTTCAATTTTTTTTTCAAAGAAATCAAACGGGTAATTATCATAAACACAGACTGGGTTCTACAATATTTTTCATAACTTAAAAAACACTGTCAGTTTAAAGTGTTATGATACAGCCTAAGGGATCCATAATTCATTCAATTCTTGCCATATGAAAACCAATTCTTTAAATCTGTGTACCTCGGTAGGTACTTATTTTTATGCAGGTGCTATGAATGACAAAATTACATTGTCCTTATATTTTAAATTAGAATACAATTGGGGGGCACCTGAGGGCCCAGCTGGTTAAGGATCCAACTCTTGCTTTCAACTGAGGTCACAATCTCATGGTTTGTGAGATCGAGCCCTGCCTTGGGATCTGTGCTGAGTGTGGAGCCTGCTTGGAATTCTCTCTCTCTCTCTCTCTCTCTCTCTCTCTCTCTCTCTCTCTCTCTCAATCTTCCTTTGCCCCTCCGCAGTTCACTCTCACTTGCTCTCTCTCTCTCCCCCTCAGAATAAATATATAAACATTAAAAAAAGAATACAATTTGGCACTCCTTTCTCTTTCTTATATCTCTGACTGTAGACACATTTTCCATGAAGTGTGGTCCCTCTTATTCTCCAAATATTTAGATACTGCCTGGCTCATCTCATTTCATTTCTCTGGACTTCTGTTTCTGTAAAAGATTTAAAAAATTATAATTTTGGAATCATAGTTGTAATATTTCTGGTATGAGGATGGTACTTAGTGTAACACAGTAATTTTAGTAAATGATAATATTGAGAAAATATTTCTTCTAAAATTGTTTTAAAGTATAATCTGTTTTTACATCATCCAGCTTCAAAATCAGTTTTCTGTGATTTTTCCCTGGGGAAAATCTGCCAAAATTATGTCAAAAAGCTCTCAAACCATAGGTGATAGGTGTATAGGGTTTCATTATACTATTCTTTCTACTTTTCTGTATATTTAAAAATTTCCATTATAACTTTTTCAAATGTAGCAAAACATATTTAAGGAAACCTAGCTTTTAATTCTAAACCAATATCACATTTGCTATTAAGTGTCTGTTTTTAAAAAGTTGTGTTTTGTGACTTAAGAGAATATCATTTGTGGGGTGCCTGGGTGGCTCAGTCTGTTAAGCATCCAACTTCAGCTCAGGTCATGATCTCACAGTTTGTGGGTTCGAGCCTCACCTCTGGCTCTGTGCTGACAGCTTAGAGCCTGGAGCTTGCCTCAGATTCTGTGTCTCCCTCTCTCTCTGCCCCTCCCCCACTCATGCTCTGTCTCTCTCAAAATAAATAAATGTTAAAAAAATGTTTTTAAAGAGAATATCATTTGTTATGCGATTATATTTATTATATCTTAGGAATATGTGTTACATTTTGTTTAATATATAATTCATATTTAATATAATTTTAAAAGTCTATATTGCCTAAAATGGATTAAATTTTAACATTATTTCATTTGTAAAGGGTCTAGTGCAAATGTAGCCTCAAGGGAAAAGTATTTTTTTCTTTTAAGCCAATAACTCTTGGTATTTTTATAGTAGACAACATTACTCCCCATAATTTTCAATCTGACATGCCCCCTCAGGTTGGACTTACCCATAAGCTCATGTGGGGGAGGGTGAATGAGTCATAGTCATTTAGTTCTGCAATTTTCTAGAGTAATTAACGTGTTTAGTTTTACTTGAAAGAGAATTTAGAAATGCTCTTTCATGTTAAGTGCCCTTGGGGTAATAGTTACCTTTTTTCATATCGAGGGGCACCTACTTTCATACAAAGTCAAAAAAGAGGAAAGCTAATTCCCCAGCACACCTCCCAATAGTCTTCTTGGACACAAACGACAAATAGACCTCTCGTATTTGAAGAGCATAGTAGGTACTCAGTAATTTGAAATAAGGAGTATAAAGACGTGACTGAAAATATGAGACGTTTCAAGAGTTCGCCAGAAATTGGTTGTATCGTCTGTTTTATTTCCTAAATTATTATTTTCTGATCATTTTTTTCTTAGTCTGATATACTATTATATTATTTTATTGTTCTCATTTGTAAATACATCATCAGAAAGGGGAAAACCTATTCCTAAGTTTTTCTTGGATTATTTTTCCTTCCTTTGTTTGATTCTACTAAACCTATTAAACCTTTAATGTGTACAATAACAAATACATTTCATAAATGTGTTTTAAAAACTGTCCAAGGAATGCTTCATTCAGTAACACATTATTATTTCTTGTTTTCAATATGCAGGGTGTGCTTTGTGCAGCTCCACTAATTTTTATCATTCCATCAGCATGTTATCTGAAACTGTCTGAAGAACCGAGGACACACTCAGATAAGATTATGGCCTGTGTCATGCTTCCTGTCGGTGCTGTGGTGATGGCTGTTGGGTTCGTCATGGCCATCATAAATCCTCAAGATTGCACCCACGGGCAGGAAATGTTCTACTGCTTTCCTGACAATTTCTCTCTCATAAACATCTCAGTTTCTCATTTTAAATTAACAACACAACCTTCAGTTTTAAACATCAGTATCTTTCAATGAGTTGACTACTTTCAAAAGTATGTATGTTTTCATAGACTTCTAAACTGTGTAGCATTTACACGTTTTTAGTCTGTATATTATAAAATTATCATTTTGGCATTTATTATCAAGACTTGGTTTTCTTTACTCTTTAGGCCAATATAGAAGATAAAGAAGAAAAAAATTGTATTTTATTATTTTGTTGTTTTATTTGAAACATAAAAAAAATTTAATGACTCGGCTGCAGTAATCTTAATTGTGGGAGGAAAAGTAAAGGCCTTGCCACTTGCTGCCATCCTCTCAAAGCATCATTCTTGTATTTGACAGATGAGCCACCATATTGCATTCCAAAATAAGTAGATGAATATGGGTTGAAATTTTGCGTACGTATCCTTCATGAGAAAAAAAAATCGTTGTGTATTTTAAAGTTTACAGAATCAAAGAGAAGGGAAAGTGAAAACTGTTAAAGGGAATAGATATCCCGAGAGCAAAGTGAATGTCTCCATTATAATTTCAACAGCATCCTTTGTTTAGAGGGGAGTGAATTCCTGGAGAAGTGAGTAAAGTTCTTCCTGTGCTAAGAAGCATGAATAACATACTGTATAGAGTAAGATGTGTGAAGAATGAAAAATCCCTCTCAAGTTTTCATCCTGTGGGAATACAATGGTAGTGCCATTATACAGATTATAAAACAGGGGAGGGAAACCCACAAGTTGCTCTGAGGCACAAGCCCAAGAGATCAGTTACGTGTCAGCTTTGGACCCATTGATTTCAAGTACTGGTGGGAGTATACAACTGAAAGCTGAAATTTGCAACTAGACCCATGCAAGATGAATCGGGGCTACAGAAGAGGTATTCTCACTCTTCTGGGATCCTCAGGGAGATTCTCAAGTGTTCTTGTGGACTGGATTCTACTTAACAGTCACTAAGATGGAGTTTGGCTTGCAGGGTGTTTATTAAGGATCATCACTAATGGAAGAAGGGAGGAAAGCAGTATCAGGAGGGCGAGATAGAACTGCAGTGCAGGCCAACAAAGCCTCAGCCAAGTCCATGGGGAAACTGGAGCATATGTGGCCCTTTAAGAGTTGTCCCTGTTCAGGTGAAATAGCCAAGTTGTAATACCACTGCCTCCATCGGTCTTGAAATGTGGGCACCCGTGGAGGACGAGGCCTTGGACTAGGCAGCTCTTTGCAGCTGATCAAACCCTACAGGCACCGAGAGGTGGTTGCTGGCTTTTGGTGCCTGGGGCACCACATGCTTCCTTTTAGGGGACTGGTAGGCACAGCTGTGCCCTCCACAGCTGCCCTCAGTTTTTAAAGAGGATTTTAAAATATCTTTTCATGAGGATTTCATATCTTCAAATCTATGACAATCTTTTAAAAGTAGCCAAACAAAATTCGGGTACATCAAATCACCTCAACTTTTATTTCTCACCATTTCATTTGCGTTTCAAGTTGACAATCCATAGCACTTATTAACCTTTGCCAAACAGAAAATATCACAAGCAGAGCGAATACACGATGTGTTTATCCAAATCATGGTTAAAAAACAAAAAACAAAACAAAACAAAACAAAAAGAACCCCCAGGAAGTGTATAAAGGATAGTTTCACAGTGGTTTGAATGAAGAGGTGGGAGCTGAGTCATCACACAACTCATAGTAAGAAAGACCTGTGGACAGCAAAGAAAGCGGTACTTTAGGCAAAACCATGCTCAGGCTCAGAGTATGATTTTTGCTTCAATAAAACATTATCCATGCCCCTCAATTAGTTTAAATGCTGTTGACTATATAGCTTTTCTGTATTTGAGTTGTAGATTTGTTTTTTATAGTTGTTTAAGAATCATAAGGTTAAGTGGCATGTGCCTATTTTTAGATTGATACATGTTTTGGTAAAAAAGTAAAAATAAAAATACTTTGATTCCATAATGAGGGAATGTAAGAAATTTTTGCTGCAGTCTCTCTGCATTGCTCAAGACTAAAAAATGCTGACCTACATAGTTATTAGATAAAGTCAGAAGAGATGAGATTCCAAGAGTGTACAAAGAGAAGTGCATCAAGGATAATGTAATCTAGCACTTAACCATCTATTATCTTGTAGTTTGGGTATTGCTTCAGATACCAAAAGTTAAATTAACCTTGAGTATTCAAGTAGGTTAAAAAAAAAAAAAAAAAAAACTCCTGGTAGGAACTGAGTATTGCATTGATGCCTAGTAAATATTTTTTCTGGTTGTTTTGTTTAGTTTTTATTTTTATTCCTAATCAAATGTAGAACAAAATTGCCTTGGACCCAGTTATTAGCTACATCTTTCTTCTTTATACATATATTTAAAAATTTTATTTATTTTTTAGAGAGAAAGAGAGAGAGAGAGAGATCATGCATGAGTGGGGGAGGGGCACAGAGAGACAGACACAAAATCTGAAGCAGGCTCCAGGCTCTGAGCTGTCAATACAGAGCCCAACACCAGACTCAAACTTGTGAACGGTGAGATCATGACCTGAGCCAAGGTCAGCCACTTAACCAACTGAGCCACCCAGGTGCCCCTCTACATCTTTCAAATTATGATAGAATAAATCTTAGAAACTCATATCTATTTTGCAGGAATATTTGTCTGTTTCTTTATCTTTATTTTGCTACCATGCAAAACTTTGAGAATCTCCCCCACTTCTATTTTCTACCTCAATTCAATAGGAGATTTCTACTGAAACCCCTTCCCTCCCTGCTACTTGTTGCCCCTTACAAAGCAACCTGAGGACTTTAAACTAATTTCTAAGGTTATTACTACAATTGGAATTATAAAGTGCTTCTTCATTTAAGAAATAAAGAAAGGGAATAGTATACTTACACACTAATGTAAGCATCTAGTAATACATTTCCTTTAAGATTGGATGGCACCTGTATAATTTGTGAATTGGATCCTTGTCCGTGTCACAATTTATAATATGGCCTTTCATCTCAACCCTAACTTGAACCGTCTTCAAATATCAGAGCAGAGAGACCTCCTTGCCTCTATTTCCAATGGTGTCAAGCTGGAATGGTTGTCTCTTGTCTTTCCTAAAAGGACCCTGAAATCCAGGTTATCCAACTAAAAAAATCCCCACTAGTCCTCTGCTGAAGACATACTGCATACATCAGTTTAAATTAAAGATTAATTTATTAGACAGAAGCAGTCCTCTTTCTGGCTTATCTGCTGCCATCTTCTCAGGAAAACAGTATTAGTCTGGTTTGGGTTCAGTTTTGTTTTGTTTTGTTTTGTTTTTTAGCTGAGCTGGCCGCTGGCAGGACCTGGGCCAGCCACTGATCTTGAGGTGGGGTGCTCATAAATGCTAACTGTGCTGGGGCTAATAATTAGCTACACCAATCAGATAGGCTTCTTTAGGAATTTATAATTATTCTGAAAAGTGTATAAAGAATTTGCCCTGATAACAGAGCAAACATGCAGAATGGATGAGAGACATCATGAGTTGGGGAACCTGGGGAACCATGTAGACTGGGAGAGAGAAAAAAGAGCACATTCTCTGGAGCAGTGGTTATCAAACTTCAACATGTGTCTGAATCTCTTGGGCAACTAATTGAAACACAGATTGCTGAGACCCACCTCCAGAGTCTCTGGTTCAGTGCTCTGGGGTGAGCCTCGAGAATTTGCATTTCTGAAAAGTTCCCAGGTGGCGCTGCTGCTGTGGGCTCTAAGATCACATTTGAATATCGTTGGAGGTAGGACATAAGAGAGATACTAGATGGTGCCATCTGTTTAGAGGCTGGGCAAAATACAAACAAGATGTAGAAATGCTGTGCTGGAGCTCGGGAAGAAAACGAGGCTAGAGACAGAGGGAGGAGAGCTCTGGTACATATTAAATGTCCTTATCCTTTGTCTCTTTGAAAAACCATTTAGAGACACTTACAGAGGGAAGAGGAGAAACCAAGACTGTAAGATTAGTGAAGAGTAATGACACAGGAGGGGAGGAGAGTTAACAACAAAGAAGAAAACAGAGATTACAGTCTAAAATCAACACAGCTGCCGTGGTTAAACTGAAAGCCTGGTTTGGGGCCTACAGGCATTCAGGGAAGACTATCTGAGCTTCATAGGAAGAGAAGAAGGAAGGAAATATTCCAGTTCCTTAAAAGTACACCAAGTTTTCCTAGGACTAAACTCTCAATGGAATGTCTTATTTGGAAAATTACATATGGAACAGGAGTATAATTGGACTAGACTCATGATAACATCATGCAGATAAAGAATTCCTGTAGTTGTGTTGTATAGGACACTTTTAGTAATCATTCCACTAATGTTTGCTTACCCACAATGAAGATTATCAATAAATTTACCTTTTGAGCTCTTATTATACTATTCATTAATAACAATATTCTAAGTGCTCTATGAACACACACACACACACACACACACACACAAATTTAGTCTGTCCATGTCTAACTTCCACCTGATTCTGGATTGTGATCCTGACCTTAATGCCGCACCCTCTTACCTAAGTATTTTTTGCCTATGGTCTCCTCTCCATTAATGGTGATTTGGGTATCACTGTGAGATTCATCTTATTAAACTAACATTATTAAATTGATGTTTGATAACATCATTTGCTTGCTCAAAATCTTTCCATGAAACTTGTGCTTATTGAATAAAATACAAACTACAAACTCTAGCCTGGATTTAAAACTTTCATAATATGGCCTAAACATGGCATTCTGGTCTTATCTTCCTGGAACTACAGGAAGGGACTCTTGAGTCTAACATAACACATTCCTTTACACTAAAACTGCTCTTTGCCACTTTTGCCTTTGCCCCTCAATTCTTGGCATTCTCTCACTTGAATATCCAACCCGTCCCTCTCATCAAAATTCTGTCAATCCTTCGATATTCTCCCAGTGCTATACATACTGAAAACTTTAGCTGCAAGTCAGTTCCTTCTTTGGAATTCTGTGATTCTTATACTTACATTGTCTGAAGAAAACCTCTCTTTCTGTCTAACCAGACTGCAAGCTCCTTGAGGACCAACACTGTGCTCTAAAGCTTCTTTTTCTTGTTCATATCTCATGGCAAGGAGACCTGAATATAGTAAACACAAGTATTTGACATGAGATTGATGGTGTCAAAGGGAAAACGGTTAATTGTACCAGTAGCCGTATGTATTATTTTATTGGGGTTTTTTTTCTGCTATAATGATTGTCATTATAAAGTAGCATTTTAATGCAATGTAGTCATTCATCTAACAAGGTGGTTTAAATAATTGAGTTGGGTTTCTTCTTTTGCTTTATTATGCACAGAACCTTCAGAGAAATTATTTGGGATAGTCATAAAAGGACTCTTCAAGTAAATACCAATAAGCACATATCTTTTCACTTGTTTTGACTAATAACTAAACATTTACTTATATCTTTTCTTTATTATAAGCTCCTTAAGACCTAAGACCATGTCATATTTAGTCTTCTTTTTTTACCAGTGTATGCTCATTCATTTACTCATTTACTCATTTAGCTGATATTTAATGATTTGAATTTATCTAATTTATATGTATTTAACTCCAATTTATCACCCACCAAGAAAACTTACATTAACCCCTTTATTAAATATTATTCTTTAAAAAAACAAAAAGAAAACAAGTAAGTGTGAAAACTTTAAACCAAATATGTTTATGACTTAGGTACAGTTATCGCCTTGCCTAATCTCAGCAGACAGCTCAGTCATTGTAGAGAGCGCTGAAAACAAGAGGTGGCTGAGGAGCACACATGCAAAATTTAAGAACAACACTTTGGGCAACATATCAGTTTGCAGTTTTTAAGTTTGAAAGGCTTTGGAAATGTTTATTTCCAAGACACAGTGGCAGCTGTGTATTTATCATTTTTAAATTTTGTTTTGCCAGAGGACAAAGCCAATTCCAGAAAAACAAACCCAGCCCAGGCTTCTTACAGTCAGGCCCCATTGCAAAACAACATTCTTCTTTAATCTTTACATTCTGAGGGAGAAAATAGTAAAGCATTCACAAAGAGAGAGAGAGAAAGAGAGAGAGAAAAAAAAAAATTACCTTATCCCAGAATGGCAGTCTTTGGGTGACTTCTGACTTTTCTTACACAAGTTTGCATTCTTGTAAAGTCTTAAAAAGAATGTTCCAAGTTACAACTTTTAACTATTGTTCCTCCGTGTATAAAATGTAGATAAGCTGGAATTTGTGTAATATGACCTTGGGTTTTATGTGCTCTGTCTCAGTGCATTATAAAATGAATTTAGATTTATTTAAAAATCTGTGAGAATAAACAAGGGAAGGAATTTACCTTTAAACATTTAGAAAAATTGGGGTGTCTGGATGGCTCAGTCGGCTGAGTGTCCGACTTAGGTTCAGGTCATGATCTCACCTCTCATGGGTTCAAGCCCCACATCGGGTTCTGTGCTGACAGCTTGGAGCCTGGAGCCTGCTTTGGATTCTGTGTCTCCCTCTCTCTCTGCTCCTTTTTGTTTGTGCTATGTCTTTCTTCCTTTCTTTAAGAAATAAACATTAAAAAAATTTTTTTTAATAAACATTTAGAAAAATAAGGCTTAGAAAACCCTGGTTTTTAAGAAGGGGCTGCTTGATTGGATAAGCAGAGCGGGAGAGGCTCTTTATTTCAGAAGACAATCTGATCTTTTAAAGTAGACATTTCCTTACATACACGTACCCTGTGATTTATATTCTGAATTACATTTCTGGTGACTTTGCTCTCCATAAAAAGAGAAGCCCAGAAGACTTCTGCCTTGCATAAAATTCAAATGTGGGCTCATGGCTTTAAATAGGAGCTGTTCTATCCAAATGGGTAACAGAAGGTTGACCACTATGGTTTCCCAACAAAGCTAACCCACGTGACTTAAATTGTTTCCCCACTCCCCCCGCCCCCCCCCCCGCCCCCAAGGCCTCAAGGCCTTCGGGTCTTCAGCCATTGTAATTTTTCACCTCAACACCAGTACTATTCTCCAAACAACAGCTGTGTGTCTGCCCACTTCCTTTGCACTCTGGATAAATCTGGCCTTTCAGAATTACATTAGAGCAGGCCTGGCAGTAGTGGGTGGATAATCATCTGCTTTTTGTGAGGAAAATCTGAAAAATTTCTCTACTGACTTTCTCAAATATCTTCTATGAAATGATACCACGGCATGTGACATATTGTTGATGGCTTTTCAGTATTTAGAACAGTCATTCCTTAACATTGAGGCATAAATTGAAGAATCCAGAATAATAATTAGGAAGAGTAGCTCTAAACTTTAAGGGTAGCCTTAAATGAGAATGCCACCCTCCGCACTTCTCTCCACCTCCCTATATTCCAGCCCAACTTCAGATTTTGCCCAAATGCCTCCTCTTCTGAAAAGTCTTCCCAGCCTTCTCCGGCAGACCATAGCTTTTCTTCTACTCCAAGAAAAAGGTATATATCTGATGGCTAATAGAAGGAACAATCCAGTGTAAATAAGAACTTTCTAGTAATTAGAGTTCACTAATGTTGGCATGGGCTACTCTGGGACTTAGTGAGCCTTCTGTGCCTGCGGCAACTCGGAGGTTGGAAAAACAATTGCCCACAATGTCATAGGGGCAGTTCATTGCTGAATAAAAACTGAACTTGACGATCTTCTCTGCAAGGTCTCCTCTAATGTTGACCTTCTAGGTACTGCCTTATGTCCTCTGATGGAAAAAAAATACAGAGCTGTTCTGGAACTGCTTCCTTCTTTATTTTTGGATCTCTTTTAATTTTTTTCTAAATAAATATTAAACAGATTAACACCAGCACTCTTTTTATTCCTTTGCAGTGCTTAGACCATCTTGTACAAAATAATTGTTCAAAAATGTTATGAATTGAACTAAGAGAGCTGGTGTTGATGGGAGGTTAAGCAAGGGAAGGGAGGACAACGTAGAGACCATAAAACAGATATGGAGCAGCACCAAAGCACCACAATTCTAAGGAGCTGATCCCACTGAAGGACGGGAGCTCACAGGGAGTTAGAGCAATCCTTCAGCAACTTCACTTATTTTACCATTAGGTCAATGTAGAAATTATGGCTGCCATTGCTGACCAGCGTGCAGAAGCGGTTCTCATTCTCTTCTGTCTTGTCACCATTCCTGCTTTTCCACTTATGAGAAAGATATTTGCAGGAAATACTACACAAAATATTTAATAATTGTGGAAAATAGATCCGTAAGTTCTTTAGTTGCCCCCCTTTCATTGGAAAAAGTTCCATAAAAGAAGAATAGAGCCCAAACACAGACAAGGTAAGACAAATGCATTAAGCCCATAGTGGGGTTCAGATGTGCAGCATCTACTGGTGATCAAGAGCTAGGAGGTGGTTACACTGCTTTGCCCTGAGAAGTATGGCTTATGGATCAGCAGCATTGGCATTATCTGAGAGCTCTTTAGAAATACAGAATTTCAGGGAAAGCTGGGTGGCTCAGTCAGTTAAGCATCTGACTTCGGCTCAGGTCATGATCTCACGGTTCATGGGTTCGAGCCCCGCGTCAGGCTCTGTGCTGACAGCTAGCTCGGAGCCTGGAGCCTATTTCAGATTCTGTGTCTCCCTCTGTCTCTGACCCTCCCCTGCTCACACCGTCTCTCTCTCTCTCTCAGAAATAAATAAGAACATTGAAAAAAATAAAAAAAAAAAAAAACAGAATTTCAGGCTCCACTTCAAATTTAGTAAACTAGAATCTGCATTGTAACAGTCCAACACTGTTCATGTACGAGTTTGAGAAGCACTAATGTACACAGCCTTGTCTTTTGGGAGGGGGCCTTATTGGAATCAACTAGGAAAGTTAGTTAAAGAGAAAACCAACTCCTGGAGAACCTATTATGCCCACAGAAGGGCTTCTGTTACTTCTAAGAATTGTGATAACACATTTCTTGGGATTTGGGGAGGAAAAATGACCGTAAATCATGATCTGCGGCTATAACACTCAAGCCTATTTCTGTTATTGTGTTTTTTACACAAGAATCATGCAATCAAAAATTCGTTGTTTTCCCCAACATTGTCTAGAATTGAAACAAACTAGTCATACCTTTTCTTTAGATCAAAATGGCAATTTCTTTTTAACTATGGTAGAAACAATGCTACAAATGACAAATTTTAAGGCATCCTGTTGATTTCTAGTTTGTATGTAAAAAGCCCTAATGAATAAGTCAGAAAGTTTTTTACCATGGGAATGTGCTTTGAATTTATGGCCATATCTGGAGGGGGGGGGGGGGGGAAGAGAGCGGAGAAGATTATCGCCACATTAAATATTTTTAAAGCCTGAACATAATAGCATTTATATTTAAACGCATGGAGAGGATAACTTAATAGATAAATGTATGAAAGTCACCAAAAATACTCCTTATGTCACTTCTAGATTAAATCATCAATTAAACAAAATATGCACTATCATAAGACATATTCTCCAATGAAGAACAACTTAAAATATATTTTCTTTAATAAAGATGAATATATTTTTACTTTGTTAACATTTAAAGCTTAATGAGGGGCACCTGGGTGGCTGAGTTGGTTAGGTGGCTGACTCTTGATTTCAGCTCAGGTCATGATCTCACGGTGTGTGAGCCCACATCAGGCTCTGTGCTGACAGTGCAGAGCCTGCTTGTGATTTCTGTCTCTCTCTGCCACTCCCTTGCTAGTGCATGAGTGCTCTCTCTCTCTCAAAATAAATTAAATAAATAGATAAATAAGTGAATAAATACTTAATGAAAAAAAGTATGCTCTATTTTGAAGCAAACAATGAGTAATATCATTTAATTTAAATTTAGTGAGGTCTGGTATTCAGAGAATGGAGGATATTCCTCATTCCAACCACAAGAACTCTTGACTATAGTGTGAGCCACAAAAAGTCCTTATCTAAGTGGCAGACACCTGGGTTTCCTCAGTCATCAGTGTGAGGAGGCAGAAAGGCTGAGTCCAAAGTTAGAAGGATGAATCTCAACTTTGTCCTTAGTCATGTAAGCAAGTGATTTAACCCCTCCCCCTTTTCTTTAAATAGGCTTCACGCCCAGCACAGAACCCAATGCTGGGCTTGAACTCACATCCCTGATATCAAGACCGGGGCTAAAATCAAGAGTCAGATGCTTAACCAACTGAGTTACCCAAGTGCCCCAATTTAACCTTTTTCCCTCCTTTCTAATCTGTAAAATGAAGAAATCATTATATACTAGGTTGCTATGAGAATTTTTCTTATGCTTATTGATAATGTGAATTACTGTATGCACTATATTACACTTATTTTCTCTCATTGTGGTTTTGGCTTTTATTGGAGAAAATGATATCATGCCTTTATAAATAATGTATGAAGTAACTTTAAAAATTTGGTATTTAACTTTTAATTTTGGTAATCATTATTTTACCTAACAAGTTTTTCATTCTATATTGCTAAATACATTGCTTTTAAGCTTTTTCAATAGTTTTCATAAAAGTCATTCTTCACTTCAAGATAGTTAATACTTTACAAAAATAATCTTCCAGATTTGAATTAATTATAATATACTCACCTTTTAAAGTATTTTTATTATAAAATTATAAAGCACACATTGTAAATATTTTGATTTTGCTAATATTTTGTTATATTATTGTTAATATTTTGGTTTATTACCTTACAGTCATTTTCTATGTAGACTGTGTCCAAAATTGGAATAATGCTATTGTGATATAATAAGAAATATATATTTGGTCTCTGCCTCCAGTTCCTGACACAGAGCTCCTAAAACACTCATATTTTTTTTGAAGTAATAGAGATGCTATGAGCATCTTTTGTTCTAATATTTGGTCTTTAGCACAGATTCCTGGTACAAGGGCTTTTAGACCCTGGAATCTCTGGGGTGATAAGAGACTCTTTTTGTATACTGGTGAAACGACTGGTGGCTAGTAGTTCCTAGATAACTTTGGGGGACTATTCCCCCAAATAGTTGTTCATTCAACTACAACTACGGTTGTAGGGGGGTTGTTCACCAGAAAGACCAAGGCATGAGTAGAAGGTTGAACTTTTATCCCCATCTCCAACCTCTGGGGATGGGGAGATAGGCTGAACTTAATCACTAACGGCCAATGATTTCATCAATTATTTCCTAAGTAATGGAACTTCTATAAAAACTCTAAACAACA